GGTGGCACAAATTGATCCTGCATGAGTGATATGAGAATGAGGCCCAGATACCAGGACAGTATAAGTGATTTTTTTAGGTGGACTAATTCAAATTGCTGCTTGCAGAAAACATCTCACCACAGGGTCTTCAACCCACCTATATCCTGTCAGAGATGAGGAGGAGACTTGTACTCTAATAGTATTATACACCAACCCCACATCCAAGGCTGACTGAAGGCAATCCAACACATTAGGCAGAGTTGGAGCTTCAGGAGATGTGTTTGTGCTGAGCAAACTCCACAAATTTGTTCCAAATGAGCTTATCCATGAGTTTGGTGGACAATTTCCTAGCCTTCATTATGGTCCACACTACTTGGCAGGAGAGGCCTCTAGCCCTTAACTGATATGATTCAGTAGCCATGCTGCTAACTGTAGTGGGGATTGTGATGTTGCCACTGGTTCTGAACTAGAAGATCATACTTGACTGTGAACAAGATTAGAGGAGCCAATAGCATCTGCAGAATTAGGGGGGAACAGGCCTCCTTGGCTACTGAAGTGCAGCCAACACTGCATGGGACTTTCTTCTCCTGAATTTTCACCAGAACCTTCACCAGCAATGAGATTGGCGGAAAGATGTACACCACTGGAAACTCCCAAGAAATTGTAAAGACATCCATTGCTATGGCCTCTGTGCACTTGTAGCCCTGTAGCTGGTTACGAACAATGAGAGTTGAGTGTTTTGGGAAGTCACCATCAAGTCGATTGCGGGAGTACCCCAACTCATGAAGATTGCCTGAGGTACACTATATTGCCAAAAATATTGGGGCACCTGCCCTTGACACGCACATGAACTTTAATGGCATCCCAGTCTTAGTCCGAAGGATTCGGTATTGAGTTGGCCCACCCTTTGCAGCTATAACAGCTTCAACTCTTCTGGGAAGGCTGTCCACAAGGTTCAGGAGTGTGTCTATCGGAACGTTTGACCATTCTTCCAGAAGTGCATTTGTGAGGTCAGGAACTGATGTCGGACGAGAAGGCCTGGCTCGCAGCCTCCGCTCTAATTCATCCCAAAGGTGTTCTATCAAGTTGAGGTCAGGACTCTGTGCAGGCCAGTCAAGTTCATCCACTCCAAACTCACTCATCCATGTCTTTATGACCCTTTTTTTGTGCACTGGTGCGCAGTCATGTTGGACCAGGAAGGGGCCATCCCCAAACTGTCCCCATGAAGTTGGGAGCATGAAATTGTCCAAAATGTCTTGGCATGCTGTAAGAGTTCCCTTCACTGGAACTAAGGGACCAAGCCAACCCCTGAAAAACAACTCCACACCATAATCCCGCCTCCACCAAAGTTTACACTTGGCACAATCCATGTCAGGTTTCTTTCTCCTGGCAACTGCCAAACCCAGATATGTCCATAGGATTGCCAGACAGAGAAGCGTGATTCATAACTCCAGAGAACACATCTCTACTTCTCTAGAGTCCAGTGGCAGCGTGCTTTACACCACTGCATCCAACGCTTTGCATTGTACTTGGTGATGTAGGGCTCCAAGCCATGCAGCTGCTCAGCCATGGAAACCCATTCCATGAAGCTCTCTATACACATTGTTGTTGTACTAAGGCCACACAAATTTTGAAGGTCTTTAGCTATTGACTCTGCAGACGGTGACTTCTACACACTGTTCACTTCAGTATGTGCTGACCCTGCTCTGTCATTTTTACATGGCCTACCACTTTGTGGCTGAGTTGCTGTTGTTCCCAGTTGCTTCCACTTTGTTATAATACCAATAGCAGTTGACGTGGAATATTTAGTAGCAAGGAAATTTCATGGATGGACTTATTACACAGGTGGCAGCTTATCACAGTACCACGCTTGAATTCACTGAGCTCTTGAGAGCGACCCATTCTTTCACAAATGTTTTGTAGAAGCAGTCTGCATGCCTAGGTGCTTGTGTCACTACTGCAGGTTGGGTTTTTTGGGGAAAAAAAAGTGGAAAAGACAAAAAATAAAGTTACAATTAATATTTTGGTTATGAACATGTTCAATAAAAATGGTCCAAATGCTTTCCAAATGGTGGAACTGTAAAAAAAAAGATGTGAAAAGGTGACAAATGTGGCAAATGAAAGTGAAAACATGGTAAACAATAAGACAAACTAATAAAACAAAATGTTACCATAAAAATTAGAAAACAAAAATGGTAAATGTCCAGTTTGATCACATATAAATAAGCCCCATAAGTTTTCTATGTTGTAGCATTTTCATTGTAGATTCATTCTCTAATGCAATTTGAAGGGTTTTAGCTATATCATTTTTAAGTAATTTCTTTTCCTTTTTGCCATTGTAGTTACTTCTTATATAATCAATTATGCACACAAAACATAGATTACATTTACAAACTAAATTGACACTATGCCATTTGACATGTTGTTTAAATGAATAAACAATGGCGCTAATGTATTCATCACATACTTCTACACCCACACAAGTCAAGCCATGTAAGAAAATATACTTTTTAAAATTAAAAGTTAAAGAAAATCACATAATAATACAATGTCTACCACATAATGGCATTCCCACAATTTTAATGCTAATTTTAATAATGTATTCCACCCTCAGAATTTTCTTTTTATATCTTCATGTATAATAAAGAGTATTTTTTAATAAAGGAAAAAATAAAAACAATGTTTTGTCATACAGTTCCTTGGGAGAAATATACCAAAAATATATTTTTTTTTTTTCGTTAAGTAATGTTTGAAGGGACACTATTATTGTTCAGGCTCAGTTGCATAGTATGCAAAGGCAATTAAGGTCACTAAATTTAACAAATTAGTCAGTGTCCAACCAAATAAAATAAATAAATAAATATATTAGAGTCCTTCCAAAGTTCTCCATGTACCCTGATAGAGTCTTCTTTAAGTCCACCAATTCTTAGTGATCCTTAAATCTCCAATATTCCTCAAAGAAATATGTCTTCTTCTACCCTTAGTACCTCAAAAAAATTAACTAAACATAGTGCATTAACCTTAAACACAATAGTAAATGGTGCGTGTGCTTCCAAATATTCACACAACCCGTGACCAGTGATCACATATACATCTATTGATTGGGGTTCCTGCTTTTATCCAAACTGAGAAGGAACTCTCTTATATAATCAATATTTCTCCATGTGGTGTAAGTGCCACGCAACACAACAATAAGGGATCAAACAGTGCAATTAAATCCTGTGACACCTGTCAATCAATGTACCTTACCAGATAGACAGGTAGTGCAGACTTTATTATAAACAGACTCTCTTGCTCCAGGATCTTTCTGACACTGTGGAGTCAGTTATCCCTCATGTAATGCGAATCCATGCCCCAAGAAACATCCGTAAGTGATCAAGTAACACATTTAAAAAAAAATGTGACACCTGTCAACCCAATTCCTTACCAGATTGACAGGTAATGCAAGCTTTAACTCAGAGTGGATTGCTGTCCAGGTTATAGTACCAAACTCCAAAATCAGCGATGTAAGTATCCAAAATAAAAGTAAAGGATCATCCTGCATGCAGAAGCTCTTTAAAATTTGTACAAGACTTTAATAAAAGCGCTTACATAATATGCAGAGTTATTGCAGTGAAGATAGCCTAATAGCTCACTGTTCTCATCGGGAAGTCTGGACCTCATCCAAAATGGCCACCGCGATACTTCCGGTAACGTCTGACGTCACTTCTGAAGGCTATCTTTACTGCTGCATTATTATGTAAGCGCTTACAATAATATTTACCAAAGTTGCTGTTCCTGCCATGGAGTTCCAACGGTATATGCACTGTGGCACCGGTGATCACAGGCGCAAGCTCTAGGTCAAGACTAAATATTTCCAGAATAGCTGTGTGTTATATACTGGTCTTGTAGGGAATGTCCAGCCCCCAGTGCAAACAACATGATGACCTTCTAAGGAAAATGGCACATTCCTTAAAAAAGAGAGTGGGCTGACTTGCCCATAAAATCACATTCTTTTTTTTATTTAGGGTAATCAGTCTTTGTCCTCATAAAGCTCTTTAACCAAGGCTTGGAGGCATTCTTAAACATTTGTGAGGCCAACAGTAATAAGTAAATATGTAATTTGCAATGCCTCCCACTGTAAATAAAAGTAATATGTCAACAGTGGAGTGAAGGCACCTAATTATTGTAAACAACGGAATACTTAATCTCCCCCCCCCCCCCCGTGTTAAATTTACCTTAAATGAAAAATGGGGGATCTAAAGTGTATCTAACTAGAGTGTATATACCTACTTTCCCTACACTGAAAATCTAATCTGGCTATCTTATGATCAAAAAATATTCAAAACAAAACTAAATGTTGGACTAACAAAAGAACATCAAACTTTACCTTTCAAGAATTCAAAAGTACAGGAGTAGATATGAACATCAGACTTTCCTTTCCAAGTGTTTAGAAGTGTATGTCAAAGTCCTCCATGTCTGGACCGCAGCGTCTTAGACATCCGATGTTTAGATTGCAGCTGCAGCACAGCAATTGCAACACTGTAGAACTCAAAGAACTAAAAAAAAAACAAAGTCCATTTTATTGTTCGTACTATTATTTGCTTATTTGTACTGCCAGTTCAGGTACTTGACCATCATTACAGGTGGAACTTGCACAAACAGTTCAGCTGCTGTCAAGTCTTTGGTGGTTGCTGCTGTCAAAAGCGTTTTTCTCCTTTCTCCAACATGCTTCTGGTTGACGTCAAGGCAGGTGTGTTACCAAGACTATCAGTCCAACATTCCATAACTGACAACAATGCCCATATAACCTATTATAGATTACTGAAAAGGTAAATTCATGATCCCTAATGACCTGACCTAACGCTGAAAGAAAAACTCAGCTTTTTTGCTAAGGGTGAAATATTATTATGCAAACACCACCGATCTACTACCTTAACTCAACACTACTCTGTATCTACTTAACTACTTGCCAACCGCAGAAAGCTGAATGACGGCTACACTGCGGCTGGCCAGTTCTGGGAGGGCGTCATATGACGTCATCCCAGAACGCACTCTCCTGCGCACCCCCTGGGGGCGCGCACCCGGTGATCTCCGTGATCGCTGTGTCCTACATACACATCCGATCACGTTATGTGGTAAAAGGCCTATCACAGCTGCCTTTTACCACGTGATCAGCCATGTCCAATGACACGCTGATCACGAGGAAATGCAATTGCCGGTTCTCGGCTGCACTTTCACTGATGATCAGTGCCCTGATGATTGGTGCCCAGCAGTGCCACCCACCAGTTCCGCCCACCTGTGCCCAGCAGTGCTGCCCACAAGTGCCCATCAGTGCACCCACCTGTGTTCAGCAGTGCACCCACCTGTGCCCAGCAGTGCCACCCAGCAGTGCCACCTACCTGTGCCCAGAAGTGCTACCTACCTGTGCCCAGCAGGGCCACCCACCAGTGCCCACCCACCTGTGCCCACCAGTGCCACCCACCTGTGCCCACCAGTGCCCATCACTACAGTGCTGCCATCAGTGCCACCAGTCAGTGCCCAGCGGTTGTGCCAGTCAGTGCCCAGCAGTTGCACCAGTCAATGCCTAGCAGTGCTGCCAGTCAGTGCCCAGCAGTGATGTAAGTCAAAGCCACCTATCAGTGCTGTCTATCAGTACCCATCATCAGTGCCGCTTATCAGTGCCACTTATCAGTGCGGCCTATCAGTGCCGCCTATCCGTGACACCTCATTAGTGCTGCCTATCAGTGCCGCCTATCCGTGACAGCTCATTAGTGCTGCCTATCCGTGCTGCCTATCAGTGCCCTTCAGTGCTGTCTATCAGTGCCCATCAGTGCTGCCTATAAGTGCCACCTATCAGTGCCCATCAGTGCTGCCTCATCATTGCACATCAGTGAAGGAGAAAAATTACCTGTTTGAAAAATGTAATAATATAAACAAAGAAAAATTATTTTTTTTCAAATTTTTTGCACTTTTTTTGTTTATAGTGCATAAAGTAAAGCGCCCAGTGGCAATTAAATACCACCAAAAGAAAGCTCTATTTGTTAAAAAATATGATAAAAATTTCATATGGGTACAATCTTGCATGACCGCGCAATTGTCAATCAAAATGCGACAGCGCTGAAAGCTGAAAATTGGCCTGGTAAAGAAGGGGGTATAAATGCCCAGTAGGCAAGTTGTTAAACTATAGGCCCAACTTCAAATGTATGTGTTTCCTCTATGTACTTCGGTCTCCTCCCACACTCTAAAGGCATTCTGGCAGGCTAACTGGCTCTTGTCTGCACTGACCCCAGTATGTGTGTACAAATTACCCATACATAAGTGTCACTATATTCTGTATGCCAGTCCAAAACCCAAATTATTATTATTATACAGTTTTTATATAGCACCAAAAAGGTTTGCTCAGCGCTGTATATTTTGGTGGGGGACAGAACATGAGACAATACAGCAACAAACAATACATGAGAGGTTCGAGGGCCCTGCTCTTTCGAGCTTACAACCTAGGAGGGAGGGGATAGTGGCACAGGAGGAAGTGGCTGTGGGGGATGGAGTGGTAGGAGGAGTGGAGGAGAGATCGGCAGTTAGGTGAGGGTGGGGTAGGCTTCCCTGAAGAGATGGGTTTTCAGGGTGCGCCTAAAGGTGAGGAGGGAAGGTGACAGTCTGATGGATTGGGGTAGTGAGTTTCAGAGGATGGGGGAGGTCCTGGAGAAGTCCTGCAGTCGGGCATGGGAGGTGGAGACCAGGGAGCTAGAAAGTAGGAGGTCTTGTGAGGAGCGAAGATTACGGGTAGGGTGGTATTTGGATATCAGGTCGGTGAGGAAGTTTGGGGCAGCGTATGAATGGCTTTGTATGTCAGTGTTAGTTTGAATTTGATGCGTTGGGCAATCGGGAGCCAATGGAGGGAATGGCAGAGGGGGGTGGCAGAAGAGGAGCGGTTGGTAAGGTGGATGAGTCTGGCCGCTGAGTTCAGGATAGACTGAAGCGGGGATAGTCTGTGATGAGGTAGGCCGGTGAGGAGGGAGTTGCAGTAGTCCAGATGTGAGATAATAAGGGAGTGAACGAGTTGTTTAGTAGTGTCTGGGGTTAGGAACATACATATTTTAGAAATGTTGCGGAGGTGGAGCCTGCATGAACTTGCTAACGATTGGACATGGGGTTGGAAGGACAGGTTTGAATCTACAGTGACACCTAGGACTTTGGCTTGCGGGGTGGGACTGATGGTGGCGTTGTTGGTCGTGATGGAGAGGGGGGGCATGGGCTGGGGGGAAAATTAGGAGCTCGGTTTTGGAAAGGTTCAGTTTGAAGAACTGGAGCGACATCCAGTCTGATATGTCGTTCAGCAGGTGGGTGATACGGGTGGAGACTGAAGGGGTGAGTTGAGGGGTGGAGAGGTAAATTTGCGTGTCATCGGCGTAGAGGTGATAGTTGAAGCTGTGGGAGTGTATCAGTTTGTCGAGGGAGGAGGTGTAGATGGAGAAGAGAAGGGGCCCGAGGACAGAGCCTTGGGGGACCACAACAGAGAGGGGGAGAGAGAGGGGAGGTGGTAGCCTTATAGGTAACACTGAAGGAGCATTAGGAGAGATAGGAGGAGAGCCAGGAGAGAGCGGAGAAAAACCTGGAAACCTATTTCATAATGATTATTTACCAAGATTGTTTTATGAATACTCAGGTGTATCAAATGTGGTGAACAAAGGATCACTGAGTGTCAGATATTACAATGTATACAGTTGTGTTCAAAATAATAGCAGTGTGTTAAAAAAAAGTGAATAAAGCTCAAAATCCTTCTAATAGCTTTTATTTCCATACACACAAATGCATTGGGAACACTACACATTCTATTCCAAATCAAAACATGCAGAAAAATATATCAAATTTGTGTTGTTCCTCTAAAAAAATTGAAGAAAAGTGAATATTAGACTGTTCAAATTAATAGCAGTGTTTGTATTCTTCTTTACAAACTCAAACATTCACTATATAAACTGAAAAATGTTTGAAGATTTTGCTTTCCTTTGAATCAATTAATTAATATTTAGTTGTATAAGCACTGTTTCTGAGAACTGCTGTACATCTGTGTTTTCATGGAGTCAACCAACTTCTGGCACCTGTGAACAGGTATTCCAGCCCAGGATGATTGGACTACATTCCACAGTTCTTCTCTATTTCTTGGTTTTGCCTCAGAAACTTCATTTTTGTTGTCACCCCACAAGTTTTCTATTGGATTAAGATCCTGAGGATTGGGCTGGTCACTCCATAACATCAATCTTGTTGGCCTGGAAACAAGATGTTGCACGTATACTGGTGTGTTTGGGGTCGTTGTCTTGTTGGAACACCCATTTCAAGGGCATTTCCTCTTCAGCATAAGGCAGCATGACCTTTTCAAGTATTCTGATGTATTCAAACTGATCCATGATCCCTGGTATGCAATAAATAGGCCCAACACCATAGTATGAGAAACATCCCCATATCATGATGCCTGCGCAACCATGCTTCACTGTCTTCACAGTGTACTGTGGCTTGAATTCAGTGTTTTGGGGTCGTCTGACAAACTGTCTCCGGCCACTAGACCCAAAAAGAACAATCTTACTTTCATCAGTCCACAAAATGTTGCGCCATTTCTCTTTAGGCCAGTCAATGTGCTCTTTGGCAAATTGTAACCTCTTCGGCACATGTCTTTTTTTCAACAGTGGGACTTTGCGGGGGCTTCTTGCAGATAGCTTGGCTTCACATAGGCGTCTTCTAATTGTAACAGTACTCACAGGTAACTTTAGACCTTCTTTGATCTTCCTGGAGCTGATTGTTGTCTGAGTCCTTGCCATTTTGGCTATTCTTATATCCATTCGAATGGTAGTTTTTCGCTTTCTTCCACGTCTTTCAGGTTTTGGTTGCCATTTGAAAGCATTTGCGATCATTTTAGCTGAGCAGCCTATCATTTTCTGCACTTCTTTATATGTTTTCCCCTTTTCAATCAACTTTTTAATCAAGGTACGCTGTTCTTCTGAACAATGTCTGGAACGACCCATTTTCCTCAGAATTTCAGAGAGAAATGCACTGTAACCAGCATGTACAACATTTGCTGCCTTCCTTCCTTAAATAAGGGCAATAATTGCCACCTGTTTTTCAAAGAATGAATTATCTCACTAATAGAACTCCACACTGCTATTATTTTGAACATGCCCCTTTCAATTTGTGATTCAATTACACAGAATCAGCAGCATGCAACCTGTTCACAGGTTCCAGAAGTTGGTTGACTTCATGCAACACAGATGTACAGCAGTTCTCAGAAACAGTGCTTATACAACAACTAAATATTAAGTGATTCAAAGGAAAGCAAAATCTTCAAACATTTTTCAGTTTATATAGTGAATGTTTGAGTTTGTAAAGAATACAAACACTGCTATTTTTGTGAACAATCTAATATTCACTTTTCTTCAATTTTTTTAGAGGAACAACACATATTTGATGTATTTTTTTCTTCATGTTTTGATTTGGAATAGAATGTGTAGTGTTCCCAATGCATTTGTGAATATTGAAATAAAAGCTATTAGAAGGATTTTGAGCTTTATTCACTTTTTTCAACACACTGCTATTATTTTGAACACAGCTGTATATAGATTTACATTCACATAGATATGGAAGCATTTTTCTGTAGTTTTTCAGGCGCTTTTTGTAACGCAAAAACGCTTGAAAATCTCCTTAGTGTGAAAGCAGCCTTATTGTTACCTTTCTATCTTAATTCAGGTAACATTGTCACATTTACCACAGACAAAACAACATGTATTCATCATATACCTAATGAACCCCCAGTGGAACTTTATTGCAGTAATAGGATCATACATATATTAAAGGAGACATTTTGTTAAAAGAGATTTTTGTCAGCTTTATTACATACACATTTCCATTATAGTATTAAATACATGGTTTCTAAAAAGAATATTGCTCTGACAGCATTCTTACAAGAGAACTCTTAATACAAGAATATGAAACTACACAGTAGAAAGAGAAAATACCCCGTTTTTTTCTGTGTGGTTTCATATCCTTTTATTAAGAGTTCTCTTGTAAGAATACTGTCAGAGCAATATTCTTTTTAGAAACCATGTATTTAATACTACAATGGAAATGTGTTTGTAATAAAGCTGACAAAAATCTCTTTTAACAAAATGTCTCTTTTAATATACAGTATGTATGATTCTATTGCTGCAATAAAGTCCCACTGAAGGTTCTTTAGGTATATGTATTCATATAGGAACATGCAGCCAGATACTCGACCCTTTTTGGTTATGACATGTATTCATCATGTCTTCATACAAGTTCCATGTCCTAAACATTAGCTAGCTACAAACAAAACACGTTTAGATTCAGACATACACACATCTCTAACATTACTGTAGTAATCAAAATCTGATCAGCAGCTCATTGTTTCCAAACCTAAAAAAGCTAATTGTTCTGAAACTTGCCTATAGTCCAGACTCCAATGCTTTAACTATTATCACAAATTGAAGCTTCCTGACAATACAACCATTCCCTTGTATATTAGTCTCTCGCTCAATTTATCAAACCATAAACAATACCGTCCAGTAGTGGACACCCAACACAGGAATGGGCTCGCATCTGATCACCCGCAGGCATCTCAATTAAGCCAAAGGCCAACATTAATAAGGCAATAAGTAATCTGCAATTTCCC